ATTTTTTTTTTGGTTGAGGGATAAGGGAGAGGAAAAGATAGGAAGAAGGATTAAGGGGGGAAATATGACGTGTGATAATGTAACAAAAAAAAAATGATAACACGATTTAGTTACGAAGAAGACAAAAAAAAAATAAGATGAAGCGAAACGAAACAAAAGCGTGAAGATAAGAAAAGAATCCCGAAAAAAAAACAGAATTACAAAAACAAAACAAATAACAATAACAAAGTCACCATGAAAAATAAGTAAAGAATAACATTGCTCATGCTTACGGAAAGTTATTTCTCTTTCGAAAATTTCCTAAAAGAACGATGTCCCTCCTTGTTATTTCGCGCCATTTTACTGGTTCCTGTAAACTAAAAGAACTTTGTCCCTCCTTGTTTACTGATTACTGTAAATATATCCATGCTTAGAGAGAGAGAGAGAGAAGAATGAGAAGTTATTTCTCCTTCTTGGAAAATTTCCTAAAAGAACGATGGCCTTCCTCGTTATTTCGCGCTATGTCACATGACGGCCGTGTCTGGCAGCGTGCATGGCAATTAGTAATTACGTAATAGTAGTGTTGTCTTTCGTATTTTTGCGCTAAGGAATTCGAATTTATGAGTTTTTTTTTAACGGTTCAAGGCGCTTGCTAGATTTGAGTCTGAAAAATAGCCATATAATTTCAATTTTTTTCCGTTTTCTTCCTAAGACCGTGCTTGGAGTTAATTTTTAAAAATTAATGTTTAAATGGATGAATAGAGAGTCACTTTACCAACACGAAACGAAGACTTGAAACGAATATCTTAAATAAATAAAAAATGGACATTAATATTCATAGCTGGTGGTCCGACATATTCATCTAAGCGTGCAAGATAGGCTGGGGATTCACCTACCCCTCTCCCCCCCCCTCTTCATTCCCCTCCTCCCCTATCTCCCCCGTCCCCTCTTTCTACTTCAGAAGCCTGAGGGAAGCTGTTTTTAGACCAAGGCTACTGGCCCATCCTTCCCCTCTTCCTCCTCCCTTCCCTCCCTCCCCCCCCCTTCCACCCTTCCCTACCTTTCCTCCCTACCTCTCTTCCCTCCTCCTTCCCTCTTCCTTCCTCCCCTCCTCATCCCCTCCCCCTCCCTCTATTCCCCTTCCACCCTTACCTCCTCCCTTCCCTCCTCTCCTTCCTATCTTCTCTTCCCTCTTCCTTCCCTCCCCTCCCTTCCCTCCCTCTCCTTCCCATCTCCTCTTCCCTCTTCGTTCCCTCCCCTCCCTTCCCTCCCTCTCCTTCCCATCTTCCCTTCCCTCTTCCTTCCCTCCTCCTCCCTTCCCTCCCTCTCCTTCCCATCTTCCCTTCCCTCTTCGTTCCCTCCCTCTCCTTCCCATCTTCCCTTCCCTCTTCCTTCCCTCCCTCTCCCTCCTTTCACCCTTCCCTCCCCTTCCCCCAACCTCCCTCTCTCCTGTCCGGAATAAACTGTGAAGGTTATGTTCTTATTTACATGTTAAAGTGATTATTTGTTCCATTAAAATGACAGTCTGATTATCTTCTAATTATTTTCATTATCGTTTCTTCATCTCCGGCTTTCGTTTGTATATATAGATACAAAAATACATAGATAAAAAAAATACAAACACACCTAAATTCTCTTGATATTTCTCTATCCACACTTTTATCACATCATTTTCTGCGTGCCATGGTTTGCCCCCTCTCGCCTCATCTCGCTGTCATCTTCCCTTGACATTATCTCGTCCTCATGTCGCAGGCAAGTCACACACACGCGTCTTCAAGGGAAAAGGGAGGTATCGAGGCAAAAGAATGCTTTTAAACGCACGCACACACACACACACATACACATTACACCCAAGCATTACTTCTCTCTCTCTCTCTCTGTGTGTCTCTCTCTCTCTCTCTCTCTCTCTCTCTCTCTCTCTCTCGTTCTCAGTGCCATGAGAAGCACGCTCAGTTGTTTGTGCTTGAGATCCGTCCGCGAAGAAAACTGAATTATCTCCCCAGGCCTTATAAGGGACGCCAGGATGCTTTCTCTCTCTCTCTCGATCAGTTCTGGCTCTCTTTCTTCTCTCTCGTTTATTATCTCGTCTCTGGTTTGGTTTGTTATTATTCTTTTCGTAATTCTCATTTCCTTTTTCATTTCGTTGTCTGTGTCTCTGTCTATGTCTATTTATCTATCTATGTCTCTCTTTCTCTCGCTGTCTTTTCTTTTATCTCTGACTCCGCCCTCTCCTATTTAACCCCCTTCGCCCTCACCTCCTTAATTCCCTTAATCTCACAACTCTCGTATCTCATCGCAAAATCTTTAAAACCCCAACGGAGACTTTTATGAATAAGAGACACGAGATATCATAGGATGATCCCTTCATGAATTGCTGATAACTGACGTTAACGAGGTTCGGACTCCCCGCTTTCTAAGGATGACAAATGAAAATCGGTGGCTGCTTGCAAGTGATGACGTCACGCGGTTCGTCTCACGACTTTGGAGACAAAAAAAGGAGATTAGGAGAGAGGGAGGGAGGGGAAAGAAGAGAGAGAGATAGAGAGAAAGAGGAGCAGGGACGGAGGAAAGAAAGAGAGAGAAAAAGGGACGGGGGAAAGAAGACAGAGAAGGGGAAGGGGAAGGGAAGAAGCAAAAGATAAAAACTTGTCTTTTTGTCCCATCTGCCATCTGCTACTGCAATGAGGCAACTAAATTTAACTTTTGCTGAGACAAATTATATACGCAACGGTAAACAGATGGGTTACGTGCATATATTGCATGTATAGAATGTGCATAAAAAACAAGCTGTGTGTGCGCATGTATACGTGTGTGTATACGTGTAGAAGCACGTACATTTACATATATGTGTTTATGCGTGTATTCATGTTTGTGCGGGTATAATTATAAAGCCACAGATGCATAAACAACATCCACATGCACAAATAAGCTACACAGAGCCCCGATCACAGCGCAGTAAACAATACCCGAAACATTTTCTATTTGAGTATTACACAGCCGCTCACAAAGGCATCTGGGCAGCCTCTTGATATATGAAGGAGAGAGGTTTGCGGTTGCCTACTTTACCCTCTAATCTATAATTTCCAAAAGCTTCTTGTCAGGCGAGAGTATCATTAATATCAGTGGCTAAAACTTTATGGCTGCTTCACTCGCCTCGCCAAAGGATGTGATAGAGATGGTGCTATATAAAAGCGTTTTAATTGACACGTTTGAAATTATATAGTATGTCATGGGTGCTGAAAGAACGTGTTTGTTCCTTCACCCATTCCGCACCCCCCTTAGATATCTATAAAATATAAATAGATTAGAAAAATGTATGGCTGAAGATAACCGATAACTCATATTGCGGGAAATTTGGAGACTTCGATGCATCCGTAGATACTGATCTTTGTTTCATATTTTTTTCAAGTATTTTATTTTATTATTATTTTTTTAAGGCTTTCCTCTTTGACCTTTTGGCTTATAATTAGCGTTCTGCTGGACATTCTTTTGTGAAGAGCCTATGATATCCGTAATTAGACTCCATGCAAGAAATTACGAAGTTTGTTTCTATGTGTGTTTAGACATTACAAGCCGTAAAATGCATCTCCCAATTTGGAAGTGACACAGAAAGTAAGACTCAAGGTTTAGTCATCACAAGACTTTTACATGAGCTTCTATTTTTCTATTTTTCTATTTTCTTTTCTTTGGAGTTTGTAAAATCCGAAGAGAATATAACGTTTCTAGTACATTATTGTTAGTCTAAAAAAAAATTGTAGGCTATTTACTTACACAGCAAAAAATAACTTTACGGCGAAAAGAAACAAAATACCTTCTAACATGACAAGACAATGAGGTTCTTTGTGTATCTCGAGATGTTTGTCTTTAGTTACCAGCTGAGGGATAAATTATCGTTAGTGTATACATATATGCAAATATGATAAAGAGATACATGTTTGTTTAATTACATTTACACACCCATCCACCATATACATACCTCTGTATTCTTGCGCATGCGTTTGTGTATGTGTGCGTGTGTGTGTGTGTGTGTGTGTGTGTGTGTGTGTGTGTGTGTGTGTGTGTGTGTGTGTGTGTGTGTGTGCGTGTGTATCTGAGTGAGTGTGTATAATGTATATATATATACATATATATATATATATATATATATATATATATATTTATATATATATATACATATATGCACTCTAATACCATGTAGTGACCATAAGAACTATCCAAAATAGAGAAATCATAAACTAGTAATGTCTTCACGACCAATTCAGACGCGGAAATCATTTTAGGAAGGGAAGCCCATGGGATCCTGATGATCTTCTGACCTCAAAACCACCACTCCTTCGCGCGCGCATTTCGTCGCTACTTTGTCATTGTAATTCCGAAGGACAACGAGCCGATAAATATTTTTTTGCAAATGACAGTTTAAAGTTGGTGATGATGTCATTTGCTCTGTTTCTTCTGCTATCGTATTATTTATCTATGTTTATTTATCCTATTAGTTATCATTATTATTTCTGTTTGTTTTTTTTATATTTTCGTTACTTTGCCGATGCTTTCCCGCTTTCTTCTCGCTTTCTTTCTCTTTTTCTTTTCTTTTCCTCCCTTCTTTCGCCTTCACCTACTCCTCTTCCTCCCTAATTCTCCTTCTCTTTCTTTTTCTTCTTCTCTTACCTCTTCTTCTACCTCCCCTTCAGCCTTTCTTTTTTTCTTTTTCTCGTTCTCTTTTTTCCTTTTCCTGCGATTTATATTTTCGAAAACAACAGTTTACGTAAGCGTTTTAACGTTATAATTGTACGTTAGAAAATACAAGATATATATTACGTATAGAAAAAAAAACAACAGTAAATCGATAAAGAGATAATATTACCTACACCCTTAAAACCAAATATTATCATTACTATTAAATCAATCAATCAAATAATTAATTAATGAATTAATAATAATGAGGATAATAATACATAATGATAATAGTAGATAATAAAAAAAATATATGTTCTTAACCCCTCTCTCTCCTCTCCTCCTCACAGGGTGCGTGGGCTTCAGCTGGGCCCAGAATGGCTATGGCTACCTCCCCCCCGAAATCCCCTTCACCCAGGGCCCAGGAAACAACATAAACGTCTTCGTCTCCACCACGCCTCGTCCCCGACCGCCCACGATCACCACGCGCCCACCAACACGCCCCCCATCGCCGCCTCCTCCATTTACTCCATCCAGACCTCCGTTTAATGTAAGTTTGGTTGTATTGGGTTTTGGGATGTGTGTGTGTGTGTTTGTGTGTTCGTGTGTGTGTGTGTGTGTGTTTGTGTGTGTTTGTGTGTTCGTGTGTGTGTGTGTGTGTTCGTGTGTGTGTGTGTGTGTGTGTGTGTGTGTGTTTGTGTGTGTTTGTGTGTTTGTGTGTTCGTGTGTGTGTGTGTGTTTGTGTGTGTTTGTGTGTTCGTGTGTGTGTGTGTGTGTGTGTTCGTGTGTGTGTGTGTGTGTGTGTGTGTTCGTGTGTGTGTGTGTGTGTGTGCATGCATGTATGTATGTATGTGTTTGTATGTATGCATGTTATGTAGTGTTATCGGTATTATTGCCATGTATGCATTTGCTTTTTTATTTGTTTACCCCTTTTAACTCTCTCTCTATATATATATATATAGATATATATATATATATATATATATATATATATATAGATATATATATATATATAGATATAGATAGATAGATAGATAGATGTTTTTTCTTTAATTCTAAAGAGCCCCTTTTTTCTTCCAAAACAGCCACCGACACAGCCTCCTACATTCCCAACCCAACCTCCCACTCTCCCACCCCGTCCACCCTCCACCCGCCCACCATTTACCCGCCCACCACCCACCACCCGCCCACCCACCCGCCCACCACCTCCGCCCACCACCCGCCCACCCACCCGCCCACCACCTCCGCCCACCACCCGCCCTCCCACCCGCCCACCACCTCCATCTCCGACTCCCGACGACCACGACCACCACCACCACCACCACCACCACAGCGACGACCCTCTGCAGTGGCTCAGGGATTCCGTCCCAGGTGAACCAGGGGAAGACTACCCTATTTTCGGGTGGCCGATCCCTCAAACCGCCTTCTCCTGCGCCGGCAAGGTTGCGG